AGAAGTACGTTCTGTATGCTATTTGTAGTCAGTATTCGGAGTAAATTCTCATCGTCGTAGATACACAAGTTCGTGGTTACTCTGCTGTAATAAACATAGTTTCTGTGCAGGTAACGATTGGGACACACGGGCACCTAACACATCATGCTGCTTTAAGAAGCGCAGTATTTCTGAAACTAATATAAACTTTAAACTTTATACAGGTCTTATTTAAGCACAATTTTACACATTAGTTATACTTTTTGCCTACAAAATGTTATTTAAATTTAAAAATAAAAATAAAATCATTCTTTTAAAAACATTATAACTAGATTATCTTCCTAATTAAACTGAAATAAAGTATTACCAAACCCTATACCAACCCGTGTAGCCAGTGTGGTATAGTAGGCCAAAGCCTCCTTTCTAAGGAGAGACAGTCTAGCAATGGACTATTAAAGATTGTTATTTTATGAAAACTTTTCATTTTATAAGTTTCACTTAAAAAAAAAATTGTAATTTTTGGCGTCTCTCCGGTTCGGCTATAATACTCGTAAAATGCTGGCAATGTTTTTTATCTGTGCGTATAAGGTTATGTCCCAGCTTATAGTGGGGTGGAATCTCATAGATATCTCGCTGCGGATTCCATACACCAGCCCGTTCGCAGTTATTCACAACATTTACTTATTTAGAAAACCCTCAGAACTTTAGATAAATATTTCTAGCTCTATGTTTTAAGCAATTAAATTTATAAATTTTAGTTCTCATTATAGGTACGCTTTCTTTTAATCTTTTGTTAGTACCATATTGGTGACAAAAAATATTAACAACCAACATTTCTTATTCGCATTGCCCAATGAATATTAATTACTCTTTAAAGTTGCTTATAGATTTTCATGGAAAGAGTTTTTTTTTTCGATCAGATGGTTTTTAACACAAAGAGCTTGTAGAGGCACCCTGTCGTTTTTACTGTCTATTATAGACATTGGAAATCTTGGGCCCAACATTTCGAGAGTGAGTGATGGTCCTCCTTAGTCATTACTATTTTTATAAAAATAATGTTGTTTAGCGGCCGAAGCCTTGCCAAAATGTCTAAACAAATGTATATATACATGACCTCTGACTATGAAGCTTGTTCTTTTAAATTAATTAAGAACGAGTTTCTATAATGAAATAATGTAACAATACTGGCACTATCCCGCACCACATTGCCAGCCACCACTTGATTTACATCCACAACTACTACACAAATTAAGCGGGAAATTAATTATTGCTGCAAGTGGAGAGCCCGCTAAGCCTCCTTAATTTCTGTTGTACATCATAGTTTATGCTACCATTGCGAAAGATCAACCAATTAAAAACAACGATAAAGTCACTAATTAAAGCGATTCTTAATTTAAGTAAAGTTACAACAGTTAGGTACTACGTTATATGAAACTCAAATATATTTACATTGTTTTAGATAAGTCAAACAACTTCCTACTTATAGATTTGAGTTCTTCCTAATAGTGCCTTCCAGTGCTAAAATACAAATTAAAAACTATGATCGTTTGGTAAATACTTTAAATTATTTCAGTAAACATCAGTTGTGTATCGAAAATAGTAGCAGATAATCACGATGGAATATATTGCAAGACATACTCGTAGTTATTTGGAAATTTAGATGTACTGTCCTGTGAAGCGATCGCATACCTTTATTATCTTCTTTAATAAATAAATAGAGTGGAGTTGTTGATAATAAGTCAACGCGGCTTTTCAACCGAACCGATTGATATTCGAATCATAAACTCGATTCCCCACGAACTTATAACAGAGCCGTCACTTCATCTGGAAATATTCCAATAAATTTTGTAGGCAACGTAAATATTTTCATCAGAACAACATCGCGGCAAATGCATCCAATTAATGCAGGCGTTGGACGAAGTCGCGGCGTTCATAAAAATTGTCTATTTATACCCACAGGGCTGAATGAAAATACATCGAGCGGTCGTGGTCTGCCCCGGGCAGCCGTCCCACCATAATTATAACATAAAACCTGATAGTGCTACGTTCACAAAAGATATTATTTGCCATAATGATTATGAATAGAGGTTACATAGATACCCGTAAGTGCGGACACGTGTCGCTTTCAGAACTACTTATACAAGATTATGTGTGTTATTATTTTAGAGGTCACTTGAATACCTTTCAGACAACGCGGTTTTACTTTTTAGAAATGGTGTCGTTTTATATTAAAGTAAAATTATAGTTTCAATAATGGAGTTTGCTTGAAATAAAATTTTATTTTACCTACTAGTTCCTAACAAGCAACAGATAATGAATGGGTAGGATACAGTGAACAGACGTTTGCAACACCATGGCTATTACATATGTAGCACGTATCCTGCTGGCAGAAGTGACCGGTAGCACACTACTAGTTTAAAAAAACGGCGCGCTCGAAAAGGGAAAAGAGATTGCTATGCGCCGAGTTGACAATACACGGGGACACAAGGTCCTAAAAAGGCTGTATGGCTGAGTTCTCACTTAGCAGGTGGGTAAATCAGCTCTGCAAGCAAAAGGCATGTCGAGTACTAAACGAATTAAAAGATTGTTTCAAAATATCCTTCGACTTCATACATTTTGAAAGTAATTCTATGCGATTGTCTATTACATTTTAGGGAGTTGGATGCATGCTCTGCCTGTATTGTTAAAAGGAGTAGGCGTATTTAACGCCCATGTTTTACCGACTATAATTTAGTCCCAAATTCATAATAAGGGCAACTCCACTGCCGTCAACTGGACACTTTGATAATTAAAAAGAATTTTTAGGAAAGGAAGGAAATCCTACGGAAGGCTTATAAGGATCGATTGAGAAGTGTAAGCAATAGGTCAAGCAGGTCAAGTTCACATATCTGTAACTCAAACTGCCTGAGCATGAAATATAGAGGCCCCTTACCAAGTTATATATTACTTAATTAGTATTTCATATCAACAGCCGTTACTAGTCCAAAATCTCCTTACAAAGGAGATTTTGGCCTACTATACTTCGTTAGTCAGACGTGTTGGTACAGAGTTTGTTTCAAGTTATCTCTCTCCTTGTAGCGCCATTGTCCTGCAGAGTTTACTTCCTTAGTCGACTCTTACGATACCCACTTGATGAATAGAGGTCATTACACGTTAATATCATTTAACATTGATATTTTCAATTACACACGATTGGCGCCTATCAAGTGTTCTTTCATTAAGTGTCCTAAACACGTGGGCTAAGAACAATATTTGTCAATGGTACGGAGTCGAGGTTTGTTTGAGTAGGTCGACGATATTTGCTTTTGGCGTCGCCGGCGCCGACCGCGGCCCCCGCATAGCCACTAATCATATTTTATCGTGCCCGCTTAACTCAAATATTCGATTTGGATTAGACGACGCACGGAAAAAATGCGACGCTATTTTCCATGTTTTATGACTGATTGTAATTTGAAGAGTCGAATTAACTCAATCGATAAACTTCCCCGCAGTATGATTTGATGTTGTCGTAAATTAAAGATTTTGAATTATTTGTTCAGTGGTTTAAGTTTTAATAATCCTACGGTTTCTTCAACCAGATTCAACTTTCTATTTCAAACTTGAATCATGTCATTTAATGCAATCGTGCTTTTTTACTGTCACATTTAACTTAATTTATGTTAACATTATAATTATGACAGTTAATAAATAAAATGAAATGATATGTCTCTAGTTGTGAACGTATCATATGTTCAGAAGTGTTTCAGTAGAATGGTTAAAAGCAGCTAGGAAATTAACACTTTCTTTACTTTTGCATTTGATTTACATTAAATTTGGACATATTTACATTTTAGTTAACTGTTGCGGTTAAACAGATATGAGTGAAATAAAAAAATAAAGAATAGAGATAAAATCAACCCTAAAATATTTAAAAGTAATAAGAAAAAAATATTCAACACAGATTTTATACGAGTATTTCTTAAATTTCTAATGTAATGTAATAACTCATGTTTCTCTTGTCTTTTAATACATTTATACTCATATTTCATCGAGTATATAACTCTTACACGTCTTGAAAATTGGAACAGACCTTATAACTGACGAAATGTAGAATTGCCTCGATACTAGCACCCAATTCGCGTTTGAAATGTGAATGTTCCGCGTGACGTCACGCGTCACGTGACTGATAGCTTTAATATAGTCCCGTTGATTATCCAGCCGAGCGGAAACGCCAAACGGTAATCTAGATTTAATACCACGGCTCATCGCGGCTCGGCCTGCCTCCGCATTGTCCTTGTACCCACTACCAACGTGTGGGTACCCAGTACAAGGTACACACGCATGTTCATTTCAATAGACACCTACCTTATGTGTGCGTGTTACGTATTATCGCATCGATACGTGCCTGTAGGTTACATTATTCACAAATAGATCGATCTGAATTACCCAACGTTATATGAAAAGATAATTTATAGGATATAGATCTGTATTTTTTTTGTTACTCTCTTGAATATATTAGAAATATAATCATAGAAAATTAGCAGTAGTTATGATCGACTGACATCTAGCACAAGTCTTTCAAGAGTGATGTCTGGTGCACTTTTATTATCCCATGTATAAGAATTTAAGCAAGAATCACTTAAAATGTTGGTACTGTGGAGGAAAAGATCGGATAAAACCCCCCAAGCAGGATCTTCTTCATGATCATCTCGAAGCTTTTCATTACGGAAATTGAGTTTTGTAGTGGACCGATAATAAATCAAAATGGTTATATAAATAACTTTAATTCCGTCTTTCTTTATATATACCGTATGAGTAAGCTTAGCATACCAGTAATCCTTTTTTGCCTGTGCAAATATTTTCTTGTAATTACTCACATAATTATAGACTTTTCACAAAAAAAACGGTAGAGTTTAAATCAGGTACTGTTTTTCCACTTAATAATTTCTACATGAATCACTCTCCAAAAGTAATTTAAAACCATTTTCAAATGCCGACGAAAACATTGTGTCAGACGTAATAAAGCTGGGAATAGCATTCTAATGAATGATATTGATCCTCCTGTGGGATTACAAGTTAATCCTCTTGAAACGGAACCAGAGGTGGAGGGAGTGCGGTCTACGGGACGCTTTGGGTAGGTAATAAAATTCTTACGTCATCACTGGACGACAGACTGTGAGCTTAAGGTATTACCGCCTCATCTGTTTTGTTTTTTTTCATTTCATTCATTGAAGATTTCCTCCGAATTACCGAGATCAAATTAAGCCTAAATTACCCAATTCAAATTAGGAATTTTAAATAAGAATATGAAGATTAATACTGGCAGCATAATACATTTATACTGACCAAAATGATTAAAAAGGTAAGTAATAATAAATAAATCGGAAACCAACTTAACTACGCTAAAAAAAAGTGTAAAATAAGATGATTACAAACATTATTTACAAAGCGAATGGTGACATTTTTCGTTCACGATAATATTCAGTCATTAGGAGAGAATTTTCTCTCGGCAGCTTTAAGCAAACTCCTATTTCTGCGACGAGTTCCGCCAATGTCAGTATCCTTTGTTCCTTCGCCTATACAATGACATTACTTCAAACCATAAAGCAAGCGTAATAGTTGACACTAGTAAAAGTTTTCGAGGTCGTCGAAATAAAAAGAAAACAATATTACTGTTGTGGTTCGGGGGCCACATTAATATACATTTGGTCGAGGGGAGGTCGGCGAGGAGACGCGGGGGAGAGTGGCGTTTTCATCACAAATTGAACAACAAAATAAAATTAGCTCAGTTTATTTATTCCAGTTTAGTCAGACAATGTGGGCAAATTAAATAGTTACCTTTTAGTGACAATAGGTGCGTTTTTATTTTCCTCAACAAACTAAACTACGTAGCTAATTCTGGTAATAACGAAAGTAATATGTTTTTAATAAAAGCTTTGTAGATGAAGATTAATGATTTGTTATTTTCTCCCTATCACATCACAATACCCAGTTAATTAGTTTAAATAACAGTATTACGCCAGACGCGCAAACAGACGTCCTTAATGAAGGCAACCAATTCTCGGGGCTGAACCGAAACGGTCTTTCATTTCAGTCCTAGAGGCGTAGGGCGTCGCAATACGCCAGCGAGTTTGCCAAAAACAAGCCCAATAACGGTCTGGCAAACAGTACAAATGATGCGTTAGTGACAAAACGACGTTCGTTCGTCCCTCTCGTGCACCGCGCCAAGGAACAGAGACAGACGCTTGACGAGCACGACGGGAAACAAGACAGGTTATTATCTCCCAACGAGCCAAAACATGTCAGAAAACCTCTGATATTTTCCACACGTCCGCGGGTATTCACAGGAGACTTGAAACGAAAATTAGTTACTGAAGATTTCTTGTTTTTGTCTGACTGCGTTGCGTGATTTTCATTGTTAAGAAATAACAAACGCCACCTTTGAAATTGAACTACGTGCACTGAATATCTAAGAGACACACGCTACTCGCCACAAAGGAGACAATATTGAAAGACCAATAACTCGGCTGTCCCATTGCTCTTCTAGTATAAATTAAATTATATCTTCTACCTTTCTTTTTATAATTTCACTGAAATTATTATACAACTTGTATAGAAAAAGATCTGCAGCGTGTTCATAAGCAGAGGTCGTGAATGTAATGATATCCGCAGTCGCATATTATGGAGCAGACCTCTGTTCCCGCGTTGCCTCATTGTATTCTTTTGGTTAATTTTTTGTCGGATTAATTTGTCTGCGTATTCAAATTGCAAATTGTGAGATAAAAGGATGTCCTTTATACGTTTGTTTCTTTTTGAAAAAGGTTCAGGATTTTCCCAAAAAAAATATTAGTACGAAATGGAGCTCGGCTCATAATATCTGTTACAACATACACAATATCAGAATACAGCTCGACACAAAGCAGCACGCCGAGCTTGATAGAGGATGACACTTTCTTAAGTTACGGCATTCTCTTACAGATTCAATATCCTTTTTCTATTTTATCCGTGTGAAGTATGTCGCGGTATCCGTTACTCCATATTCAAGTCAGCTTTTGCGTCATTTGTGAACAAAAATTATAAGCATTGCAAACCTTCAAATATATAGGTAAAAGGTGTTAGACCTACTTTTTTATTACATCCTAACATTATCCAATAAGATTTTGCATACTTTATAAAAGGATAACAATCTTGTAATACACATAATCTAAATTCCATTTTGATGTTAAGCACAAACAATAACCCCCGGCGATTATTTTTGAATATCGATATAACGGACCTCTGGATTGTATGCCATTATTCTTTGAAATTGCCCATCTTTCAAACCTAAATATGTAGTACAACCCCAAGTAAATTATTAGAACACGTGAAAGGGTCGCCCACAAAGATTAATTTGCGTACCCGTGCACATATAATATTTACATTAAGAGATAAGAAATTTTATAATCTCTGAAATAGGAAATAAATAAAGGCCAACCCTGTGAACCCTGTAACAATTTACTTCAAATAGAGTTCATGAAAACAATCATAATGTTGCATGTAACAAGCGGTAAGATCTTTCAAATTGTATTTTCAATTGGGCGATGCTCGAACAAGTCGAGGCGAAAGGAGGCACGTTCCCTCCCTATATTTTCCTGTATATTTTTTCCCCTCTCTATGAAGAAGTCATAAATCACGTGGATGTAAATCTGTAGCATCCAGTTGCGGATGAGTGACGCGCCATTATCGTGAGTCGTCGGGGGCGCCGCCGCACCGGCCCAAAACTTGATATTGAGCAAAACTTTTAACACTGACAATCCATTTTATCCGGTGTACCGCACTATCATAACTTTGAATAGTTTATTTATCATGAAATGATTGAGACAGAGAGACACTAGTTGAGTTACGCTGTTAACTTTGAACGCGGAATAAGTAGAAGTCTTGTAGACACTGGTTTTTTTAACTTTATAAACATGATCTATGTTAGTATTTAAGTTTAATCAGATAGTGAACACTATTTTGTACCATCATCAAAGAATCATCTAATAATTTATTTATCTTTTGGCCTCGGCTGCGCCGAATCATGCATACTTTTAATATTTTACTAGCTTATTGCGGCATAGATAACAAAATACACTCAAGTACAAAACACACAAACATGCAATATACACAGAGTATGTGGTATTATCTTCACCTAAAAAGCAATTCCATTACTTAAACTATAAAACCCCAATGTCTACTACATCAACATTAATCTAATAAAATAATGGAACGTCACACACGAAGATTTTGTTCTGTGAGAAACGTTATTGTTCATAATAAGCCAACACGTCTTCGGCGCCTCACATCCATCATGCGAACGAATTCATGACTCTGTCTATCCCGAACTTCTCTGATGATCTTAAGAAACAACCAGTTCGAGGAAAGTTGCTCTAGTTTATATATTAAGTCTCGTAAATAAGTAGGCTCCTTGTTGACTTTATTTACATACTAACTTGTACCCGCGACTTCGTTCGCGTGGAATTTAAAAAGCGCTGCCTTAGTAGTGTAGTGCGGTACACGTCTACAGTCCATGAGGATTGACCGGACAAAATTTTATAGAGTATTTCGGAAAGGAAAAATAGACTTAGTTACTCCTTATATAGACAGCTACCTGGTAGTAAAATACTATCAAAATCGGTACAGCCGTTTTAAAGAACAAACAGACAGACAAAAATATTCAAACTTGTTTTTATCGTTCATGTAAGCATGAAAAAAACCTATTATTTTAACATTACAAACAGACACTTCGATTTTATTTATTTGTTTTGAATACTTAGCCGTGATCAAGGCTCTGACCGCGATTAAGCAAACGTAGTGGATTGACGAATTGTGGCAAATGGCTGGCAGCGGATGGATGTAGACTGCCAAATTTGGGGGAGGCCTTCGTCCAGCAGTGGACGGCAACAGACGATGATGATGGCTTTGACATAATAGATGTTGGTCAAAGTCAATTCAGTAATTTCTTGTTAAACGTCAAAATTATGGATTTGTATACACTTGAGTGTACGAGTAAAACAAGTCTTTAAAATATCCATTTGATGATGAAATTCAAATGTCTCATGTATAATATATTTAAATATTTGACTCAACAGAAGAAAAATAATGTTGAGCATAGAAAATGTCCGTGTGGTGACGGATTAGAAATACAGTGTAAGAGCCGACTAATAGAGCAAACTACGCAGGACAATAGCACTGCAAAGAGAAGGGAAATATGATACGAACTCTATACAAACCCGACTGGCCAGCGTGGTATACTAGGCCAAAACCTCCTTTTTAAGGAGATACCTATATTGAGCAGTAGACCATTAAAGACTGTGGATGATGATTGATGTGAAAAAAATATTAGTCAATTATAAGTTTTTTCTTTCATGGATTATACATACGAACGGCGTTTAGTTAGAAGGCATGTTAGAAGGCTAGTTAGAAGGCAAGTATGAAATAATAAAGTAAAGTAAAGCTGTTAAGTTGAAATATGTTGAATCAAAATACTATGTACTTGAAAAGAATGATAGAAAGGCCTCTCACGTTTAGACTTCTCACTATCTGCGACAGTGTTTTACTGCATGAAAATTATGAAATTGTTGTATTTAAATTATTAAGAGTTAAAAACTCTTTTTGTTAAATTAACTTCGAGAAGTTAAAAACACTTTCATACAATTGTTGTTATTATACAATACAATTCCAATAAAGTGCACAAAGGAAAACTTTATATTAAGAATGATCCACAGTCCAATAAAAATCTTTTTTCATTTAAAAAAAAATACAGTCGAATTGAGAATCTCTTTTTTTGTGTTTTTGAAGTCGGTTTTAAATTCTGGTTCCAAAGTAGATATCATTTTATCATACCTCAAGGTATAAGCGAATCATTTAGGCTACCTATCAGCACTTATGATCATTTATTTTTATTATTGAGTACATCTCCCTTGACTTCTGCTTTCCATAACTCGCTCAACTTTTTTAACAGTTTGTTTATTTCTTTACAGGTAAGGCAGAATGTTTTATAATTCAAAATTATCGAAGAATTGAGGTAAGTAGAAACTTTTAACTAATTACAATGCTTTTACAACTATTTTATTTTCAAAATCATAATATTTCTAAGCGTAATCATATTCTAAAAATTAATACAATACGCAACTTTCCACTTTGTTACCCTCATCTGTTATGGTCACGTATAAGATCATAAAAGCAACCAGGGCCGGATAAAAGTTATTCATAAACTACTTACATACTTTCATACCTACTTGTCGAGTCATGGTGACTATACGATCGAACCCCAGGCAAAACTGATACAACATTAGACTAAGTAACTATGACTGAGAGTCAATGACCTTTTTCATCTTGTGAGGTTTATAAGATGATTGATTAAACTAACAAAATGACTTGTTTCTAACATAACTTGATGTTATTTAATGTTGTTGTTTCCAAGAATATAAGGTAATAACCATGCATAATTTCTAAATAAATGTATAGCGTGTATATTCTTTAATAAGTATTGAAGAATAAACATTTAAAAGTATGTAAACTTCACTGACTTCTAATAGTGAAATCCATGTCGTAAAGCTTTTAATATTTATTTTTTCATACCATAACATAACTCCAACAATACTTACTTACTAATTTATTGTAAAAATATTTTGATGGAAAGGATAACCTTCTTTATTGTTTCTAGTAAATCCAGGATAATCACGGTTAGTCCATTTCGTTATCTACAAATGCGTCTCTATTTATTGAAAATAATTAAAAAAATATCAAACAGAATCATATATTTTATTTAAAAATTGTTTATTGAAAAAAAAAAACTAGTTTACGATTTGCACCAAAAAGAATCTCATTTGACTTCGTTATATAAGAAATTTCTGTAATTTTCACGATTATAGTCTAAAGCCAATCCTGGTGCAATAATCAGGTCATGATGCATTTTAGAACAGCCCGTCAATGCCAAAACTTAGATACATAAAACATTCGTAACTCTAATGTTGACATTCACCAGTTCCCTTATCCGTGAACCAATAAAATCATAGGATAGAATCATCCTTCTCTGAGTTATAACTCAATAAATATCCATATTTCAAAATTAATAAATCTTTGAAATTATGGTTAGAGTTATTTCAGGGATTGGTAAAACAAGTACCTACTGGCTGGCTTTCACGCTTATAAAACATGATTATCCTCAAAAAGAATACGGATAAACAAAGTATTTTTTTATGGTTTAACATAAACAAATATGTTAACCAACTACCAGTAATAGGTTAAAACCCTAGAACATTAGAAATATCAGTATGAACGTATCCTTTCTAGTTTTTTATTGGAGTTTAATCTTTTAAAGACAAAAGGACAATATTTAGGCAACCATGTGCAGTTTACCAAAGAACATAGTGGTAGGTAATTAAA